GTGGCAGATCCTTTTCCTATTTAGCGCCCAAACTCTGGAATAACCTACCTAACATTGTTCGGGAGGCAGACACACTCTTGCAGTTTAAATCTAGATTAAAGACCCATCTCTTTAACCTGGCTTACACATAACACACTAACACGTTTCTAATATTCAAATCCATTAAAGGATTTTTAGGCTCCATTAATTAGGACACTTCCCATAACACCCGATGTACTTGCTACATCATTAGAAGAATGGCATCTACGCTAATATTAGTCTGTTTCTCTCTTATATATATGTTGTGGTAAGGGACAGCATGTTGGGACAACAACAACGTGTTGCAACTGTCCCTACACTACTGACAGCCGTGATAAAACTTTGTAAATTATCATGACACAATATCTTTGACACATGCTAGCTATGCCTATTAGAAGCTCAGAAAACAGTGATTAAAATTATATGACTTTACAATGCTTCACACAAGCAGCTTAGGCAGTATGACAAAAAAATTCTGATCATAAAAAAAAGCCATAAAACTGACTGAAATCCAAGCGTGTTTGTGATCTTACCAGAAGTCTCTATGAGGAGATTCAGCAGTAAAGCAATAATAATCGACAACATGCCTGTGAAAATACAGATAGACTCACATAAAACAAACTCTGAGGGAGATTCTTCCAGAATAAATGATATAAGAGACATAATCGATCAGAATGTCGTATTCAATGAGGAAACAAACTCACCGGAGACAAAGATCACTCATATCAAGTATATTCAATTATAAATTATAAAATAGATGAAAATCAGTGAGAATCCAAACGTACTCCTGAATGTTCTGTTTTACTTTCGGTTTCTAAAAATAACAGCAGGTGATGCCTCACTAAGACAGATGTCATCAGATGATGAATGACGCTTCATACTCGCTGTGATTAAGTGTAAACATATTCGTGTGTGAACATACATTTGTCTGTGTTTTCTGTTGTTATGAGGCAATTGAATGTCTAGTTGTAAGAAAAGTCTTTAAGGCATGATCTCTTTGTTTCATTCACTGGCGTATCGTATCATTTATCCAAGGAAGCTGTATTTTACTATGTGATTTCTTCCGACATTTAATACATTTATCTTCAATACGACTGATATGAATCATAAATTCATCACATTTATTTACTTGATTATGTTGTAATACTTCATTCCAACTTACTGGGGGGTATACAATACTACAATATTAAATTCCATACATGGAGAAAGAGAAACGTTTATGCACAAAGATTCTAATAAAACATTTTCAGGTAATGGAATGTCTGTAGATTTAAATGAATCGTTAATGTATATTAATACACCACCATAATACGCTAATACATAAGACTTTGCTTTTCAGGTCATCGTGTCTTTTATTAACTCAACACAGAAACATCAATCAATGTGCAATTAAAATAACTTACAATATTTCAAAAAAGAAATGTAAAACCCAAAATACAACAATCAGCCATTAAAATATCAAAAGCATTTTAAATTCCATACATGGAGAAAGAGAAACTCTTGGCTGAGGCACATTTACAAATTTTTAATCAAACATTTTACACATTATGTTATAATTATCAATATACAGAGTGATAAGAAATACAGCTGTAACATCATATTGTGGGACTCTTTATCCTGATAACGTGTTTTAGCCCTGTTTGTTTTGTCCCATAAGACATATTCATTTAGCAGAGGCTTTTTCCCAAAGTGACTTACAAATGAGGAACATCACAGGAATGTGTCACTAGAATGGCCAACATTCACAATATAGAATGCTACGTTTAATGATCGATTAGTACACAGGTCAGAGTAGAAACTGACGTGTTTGAGACAACAGAGAAAAGTGTCTGCGGAGGTTTTTGTATAAATAGATGCTTCTACTTCTGATTAATGTAGACGTAGCCTCAGTAAAGGCTGCTCTTTAATTATCTGCTTCACAAATACTCCAGATGTTGTAAACCACATAAAATCACGACTGTGTTCAGATGCTAAATGAAGTTACTTACTTTCTTTAGCTGGTTTCTTCCCTGCAGAGCAGATCAAAAATATCAACACATGAGATGTATGAAACGAAAGCCTTCTGAAAACCACATCTTTAACACCTCCAGGATCATTCCATATTAATGAATACATTGATAGGCCTATGTGATCGCTCATACAGCCAGCCTATAGAGGAAAAGACTGTTTAACAGTTTGAAATCCGTCCCTGAATTTGCTCTTCTCTGTTCTTCCAGCAGGAAAGCTGCGGTTATGCCAAAGCCCTTGCATGATCAGGTTCCTCTGGTGTTTTCTTTGGCCGCACGCATGTTTCCTGCTTTAATCTGGACACGTTTAGCCGTCTAATCACCTTTAAGGTCTTCTGACGCAGAGACGGAGGCACCTCAAGGCTCAGTACTAGGACCATTACTGAGCAGGACCTTCAGATCCTCGGCGTCTCTGCTGGAGAAGCTTCATCTTCATCTGTCAACGGTAAGATCTGTGAACAGTGAAGCAGAGGTTTGCGTTCAGTTTAACCAGGTTTGAGAGTGTAGCCTGAGCTTTAATGTGGTTTCACACTGAATCTGTAGAGTTTAGGATGGATTTATTCCATAATTTTTTGATTCGCAAATTACATCGGTGCTATTCAAATGCAGAATGTATGCTGGGGAAAAAATCCAATATGGCAAAAAAAAAAAATATGTTTTTCTGGTCAAAACATATATTTAAATATATGCTAAATATATGTTGTAAAGAGCTCTTTGTATTTTTGAAACTTAAAATATGTTTTGTTTCAACCTTCATATACCAGAATATTATGTGACAAATACAATGTATTTTTTTCGACTGAGCAATATGGAGGACAAAATATATATTTTTAATGCTTTTAAATTTTAGAAAATGGCCAAGAAATACATTTAGGCTATGCAAAAATATTTTGAAAAAACATTTTAGTAAATATATATATATATATATATATATATATATGTTTCTGTGTGTGTAAATATATTATTTGAATATTTTGAAATCTATTTAAAAATATATTCGAAATTATATTTTTTGCCGTATGGGATGGTTAATATTCAGAGAGATAAGAACTACAGCAGTTTGACATCTGAAATAAAATGAGAGTAGTTTAGTAAACCACTCTTAATGAAAACTTATGAAGTGTTTGTTTGTAAGTTATTCATTGAACTGTTTGCTGTAAATCAGGTGAAAGAGAATCCCATAGTCGTCATATTTATATTGATGTTGTGATTGTGTCTCTTATGAACAGCTGTAGAATGGCACAGAAAGCAGACAGAACTCCATCTACAGAGAGGTGAGGGAACGCTTGCAGCGATATTCTGAATGAGCTGAACTCGTGTTAAACCTCACCCAAAGAAGAGTGATGAAGAATAATACAGAATGTCCTAACACAGATTGATTCAATATCTTTTATTTGAAACAGTGTTATATGCAAATGTTTCTGTTCTGATTAGTTTCTCACGCATCTGCATGTTTTCTTCATTAAACTCCACCAAATCCAGCCAATCAGCTGATGGCTCCGCCCCCAAATCCGCCCTCCGCAAGACAGCGTCCGGCGATGCCTCCAAGAAGAAGAAAAGTAAGAAATCAAACGAGGATGCCATGAACAAGGTGTACACTAACCTGCTGAACAGCATCTTCGGACAGGTATCTCACACTCCGTCACTCCTGCTCTTGTGTTTGGAGATTCTTACTACAGTCTTAAGCACCTGAATCAGCTCTTTAAATCAATAATTCATGCAGAAATGACAATTATGTACATGCATTTTCTTCTGCAAAACACAGAGTTCTTTCACTCTGCTTTTCTAATGACGCTTCATCGTGATCACAATCTGACAACTCCAAAAAAAGAAGAAAATGCCATGAAATGCCAATTTTGAAGTCATTTAATAGCTCTGAGTGTTGAACAGACCCAAACTGACGTCATTATTGACTGATAATCTTTCCTTCATGATGGTCACTAAACATACAACAACCTTCAGACGTCAATAACATCACTGACGTCAAACCTAGTGACATATCTGCAGTTTCCATGCTTAAACATGCGGATGAGATTAGTTGTACTTAGATGTTTATTTGTGACTGAAACGTCCCATTGACAATCAAGCATGGTGCATGCAATATTATACAGTAGAGCAACTCATCTATGAGATTTTACACAGATATACATGAGATTCTGCACTGATCACACCAGTATTTCTGTTGATTTCATGATGAACTCAAACACAGAGTGCCGTGTCTTTGTATTTAGTGCATTGACATGTGTGTGGTACGTCTGTTAAACACTCATTAACCCCTGTAATCACACTCAGACTGTAATAATAGCACATGACGCGGTTCAGTGTCACTCCTCATTTACTCTAACGAGGTTTAACGAGGCTTAAGCAGATGGAACGGGAAAGTGGTGGTGTTTGATTCATGACTTGACTCGTGCTCTACACGCGTGTCTGTGTGCTTCCTACCTGCAGTTCATTTCTGATTCCTTCTTATAGTGTTGAACACAAATGGAATGTGAAATCTGAGTTTTGATGTGTTTGAAATGTTTCGGATTACTTTTATATGAAATATAAAATCTGTTCCCATTCTAGTGTTGTTTTTAAAACGGTTTTTAAAAGTCAAATCATTTAAGATTTTAATGTTAATGTTTTTTTTTTGATAGACAAACTCTATTTTTAAATTTCTACCCAGTTAGTGAAATTAGCAAACTGTATATTCAAATCAACTGAAGATGATGAAAGAGCTAATTTGATACTCAGTTTGACCTTTAGGGGGTCACCATCACTATTTCCAGTCTTTGAGAATTTCGGGCTTTAATTTGTACTCTATTCTCAGAGCGTTTGCTGAACCTCATCAGAACTGAGTTTAGTGGCTCTCTCTGTGTTGCTGTCATCAGATGTGATGTTACGACAAAGTTTCTGATCACTGACACACGTTTCTCAACTGATAGCTCATGACATTGTGACAGAATCACCAATGCCCAATTCAGTAAAAAAAGGACAATAATTTTTTCATGAGATTTTTAAAAATGTTTTTTAATTTGCAAATTTTATATTTTGCAAATTGCAGCAAGCAAACTGTTAAACTGAGTAAAAATTAATAAAGAAAAACGAAAAAAAAAAAACAAGTTGAAATCTGTACAGGAAACTTTTTATAAAAACTTTTTTATTTGCTAATTTAAGAATTTATTAATTTGCAAATTACTCTGTGTAGCGAGTTAAACTGAGTAAAAATGTATAATGAAACACTAAAAAGCAAAATAGAAAAACTGATTTTTTTTTTTTTACATTTTCAAATGTATTTCATTTCAACATGAAAGGAGTTAAATGGAGTAAAAACACAATGAAATAGCAAAATAGCAACATTTATGCTGTGTAAAATTGGAAAATGAAAAACAAAACAGAAAAAAAAGAGAGAAACTGACTAGGGAACGTTTTCATCATATTATTTTTTTAAATAATTTAATTTGCATATGTAATAATTTGCATATAACAGTATGTGATGCTAATCGAGGCAGAGTGAGAATATGAAAGAGAAGCACACAAGTAAACAGTGACCATAATGTTGATTCTTGAGCGATTGTTCTGTGACCCAAAACATGCCATGGAAACTTGGGTTGAGTCGGAAGCTTTAACCTGAATGTGTCCTGATTGATTCTAAGCCTCTAATCAAAACAACACATGATTCTTTCAGATCATTAGCTCTTATAACAACCACATACACAACTAATGTGATCTCTCTGTGTTTGCTGTCAGGACCGAGAGTTGTCTCAGCCGGAGCTGGACGGTGAGTATCACACCATCTGACCACATCACATCTCAGGTCAATCATCAAATCACAGCTCATCACATCTCAGGTCAATCATCACATCACAGATCATCACATC